GAACTGCAGATAACAGTCAGCTGTAGTGGCCTTCAGTACTGCACCCTAACCACTGCACCACCTCGGCTCCCTATAAGTCAGTTTATTCAACATAACATTTGTAACTCTGTTTGGTTCATCTGATAATGTTGCTTCCGAACTTCAACCATCGTTGGAGGTTTTGGAAGAATTGATTATGGATTTTAAGTCATTAACCATTTTTTTAAATCACAAGAAGTTGAGAAAAAAGTGATGGAATTAAAATTAGGCATTTACATGACTTGGAATAATGAGTTTGAATAGCCTTTCCTGGATAGTCAAAGGGAAGAAATGCTTTGAATAGTGTGAAATTAATTTCCTGTGATCATAAATTAAGGTTAATAGGAAAGTTAATGCTACAATGTTTATATTAATTGATTGTTTCTTTATGTCGGAATTTGAATTAGGGTGCTGCTTTTTATTTAAGCTTTGCTTTGCTCTGTTTTATTGAGAAGGGGAAAAGAAGAAAACCTTTGAGTAATTTGTAGTTTGTAAAGAAAGATTTTTTTTAATAAATATAAAATTATTGTATAAATAATGCACTTTTTAGTAAAAAAAAATTCCATTGTTTTATTTACTATTATGATTATTAATATTGGCTTACATTCTATAATTAATGTTTTATATTTTTACATAGTCATTAGTCAGACATAAAACAAATAGTTAAAATGAAAGTATATTTCCAAAGAGTACAGACTGCCTGAATAGGAAGAAAAGATTTCAACTTCACAAAAGGTTACAAAAATAGACAGTTTCAATTATTAGACCTTAATTATTAACTGGTTTTATTGCACTTCAAATATAGAGAAAAATATTGGGTTTTCCCTCTTAAATTTGATGATCAACCAATATTATTGAAGTGTTACTTCCATGTTAGTTGATTGGATAGTGAGAGTGTTCTTTTTCCTTATCCCTTCCTTAACAAAACCAAGATAGTCTTCTTAAATTAGCCAATTACATATAGTGTTATTGATGCAGAGACTATATTTCAACATAATAGAGGAACAGTGCCCCAGATGACTTTCCCAAGATTTCACTAGCACAATATATGTTGTCTAAAGCTGTGTGACAAATACAGTATCAATAGTATATGTAATTAGCAGAGAGACAGATAAGTAAATGAACAGAATTTTTATCCCCAAGCTAGGAAAGGCTTTGCAGAAAACAGTCATCTAACTCTTTTATTACATTTTATTCTAATATAAAAAGAAATGCTGATAATTGTTGTGCATTGAAATGGAACCACAGAATGTGTAAAATAAAAAGGTAAAGTTTAAAAAAAGTATATCCATACCGCAGTGGTGGGTTTCAAAAATTGTTCGAACCTACTCTGTGGGTGTGGCCTCCTTTGTGGGAGTGGCTTACTGCCCATGTGACTGGATGGGAGTGGCTTGCTTCCCATGTGACCGGATGGGAGTGGCTTGCTTCCCATGTGACCGGATAGGAGTGGCTTGCCACTCATGTGACCGGATGGGAGTAGCTTGCT